GTCTTTCCCGATGGCCTCCCAGCTGGTCTTCCACCAGACCGTGGAGATGCCATGAAAATTGACACTGACCCCACGGCTGATCCACCTGTTCGACCTGTTATTCGTCTTTCAATTGCTGAGCTGGACGAACTCAGGAAGCAGCTGGATGATCTGCTCGCCAAAGGATTCATCAAACCCAGCACATCGCCATACGGAGCGCCAGTCCTCTTTGTTAAAAAGAAAGATGGTACACTTCGCATGTGTGTAGACTATCGTGGACTCAATCGCATCACCAGAAAGAACCGACACCCCCTCCCCAGAATTGACGAACTCATCGACCGGTTCCGCGGCGCTCGCTACTTCACCAAACTCGACCTATTATCTGGATACCATCAGCAACGCATCTTCGAACCACACACTCACAAGACCGCGTTCCGTTGTCGATATGGCCACTTCGAGTTCAATGTCGTTCCTTTTGGTTTAACTAATGCACCTGCTGCTTTTTCGAACATGATGTTCAATGTCCTTGATCCCGTATTGGACAAATGGGTTGTTGTCTACCTCGACGACATTCTTATTTATTCCAAAACCAAAGCTGAGCACCTGTCCCACATCCGAAGCGTCCTTTCGCTACTCCGCAAGAATGGTCTTTACGCGAAGCTGAGCAAATGCTCCTTCATGCAAGAAGAGACCGAGTTCCTCGGCCACGTCGTCTCCAAAGACGGCATCCACACGTCCGCCGGTCATGTTAGAGCCATCCGCGAGTGGCCGCGCCCCACCAAGCAGAGAGATGTCCAGCAGTTTATTGGCCTCGCTCAGTTTTACCATCAGTACATCCGTAATTTTGCTGACATCGCTCTACCTTTGACCGCACTGCTAGGTGAAGGCGTTGAATTTTCTTGGGACCAGGACAAGGAGCACGCCTTCACCGCCCTCAAGGAAGCAATCAGCAAGGCTCCAGTCCTCAGGATTTTCGACCCCGATCTGCCAACGACTGTAGAGACAGATGCTTCAGGATTCGCGCTCGGCGCAGTTCTATTTCAGACGGATGAGCACGGCGAGTCTCGACCAGTAGCATTCACATCGCGGAAGTTCAACTCAGCCGAACGGAATTACCCAACCCACGAGCAGGAGTTGCTCGCTGTAGTTCATGCCCTCAAGCAATGGCGCTATTACCTAGATGGCACGCATTTTATTGTGTACACAGATCATGCGACGCTCAGACATTTTCCAACCCAACCAAAGCTCACCCGACGACAGGCGCGCTGGATGGAGCTCCTGCAAGAATACAGTTTCGATTTCAAGTACAAGCGTGGCGCGGACAACGTCGTCGCGGACGCTCTCTCACGTCGGCCTGACCACCAAGAAGAATCACCACCAGTTGAAGTCAACAATTTGGACATCCGCATTGACCCAGGCTTAAGGCAGCGCCTGGTGGATAGCTACCTCGATGACCCTAGTCTCGGTCCTATCTACAAAAGCTGCCTCGAGGGAAGTCCACCCCCACGTTATTCTTTAATTGATAAATTGCTCTACGTTTCTCGTCGTGGCAACACTCTTGTTTGCATCCCTCAGAAGTCTGACATTCGTTTGCTTCTTCTACACGACGCCCACGATTCTGCTATTGCCGGCCATCTCGGTTTTGACAAGACGTACCATGCCCTTCGACGCATTGTATACTGGCCCAAGATTACCCACGACACTCGACTCTATGTGCAGACATGCGAGAGCTGCCAGCGCAGCAAGCCAAGCCAGCAACGACCTGCAGGATTACTTCAGTCTCTGGAAATACCAGCACAGCGCTGGGAGACAGTGACCATGGACTTCATTGTGCAATTACCCAAGACACCTCGTGGCCATGACTCCATCACCGTTTTTGTGGACAAGCTATCAAAGCAAGTCCATTTCGCCCCCAGCAGCACAAAGGATACAGCATCAGACGTGGCACGCCAATTTTTTCATAACGTCTTCAGACTCCATGGCATGCCCACCACCATCGTCTCCGACCGCGACTCCAAGTTCACAAGCCGCTTCTGGAAAGAGTTGCACCGCCTCATGGATGTCAAGCTAGCGATGTCAACTGCCTTCCACCCTCAGACCGATGGACAAACGGAACGTGCCAATCGAACTTTGGAATCTATTTTGCGCGCGTTCGTGGATCAACGACAAACAAATTGGGATTTACTTCTATCAGCCGCAGAGTTCGCATATAATAATTCGATTAATGCCACCACTGGTCACTCACCATTTTTTTTGAACAACGGATTCCATCCTCGAGTCCCGGCCTCACTTCTCCATACCCAAAGCAGCCCCAACCCCAGTGTTACCGAGTTCATGGAGTCACAGAGTTCCGCATTGATTGTTGCACAGGAGGCAATTGCTGCAGCACAGGAACGCCAGGCACGGAACGCAGATACCCGTCGACGAGATCACGATTTTAAAATTGGAGACAAAGTGCTACTCAATGCAGAAGACATCACTGTTGCAGCGGATCGCAATCGCCCGACCAAAAAGCTGCAAGATCGATTTATTGGCCCCTATACAATCCTGGAGCAGCACTCACCAGTTTCTTTTCGCGTTGAGCTGCCACCCACTATGAAGATCCACGATGTCTTCCACGTCGATCGCTTCCGTGAATACAAACCATCACCTGAAGGCCTTGGACAACGTGCACCGGCTCGACCACCACCAGAGATTATTGACGGAGAGGAGGAATACGAAGCAGAGACTATCTTGGACCATCGACAGCGAAACAATAGGACGGAATACTTAATCCAATGGCATGGATACCCCAGGGAGGATTCGACATGGGAACCGGAGAGCAACCTTACGCACTGCACTCGACTCTTACGACAATACAAGCGCAGCCATGGAGTGTGATTTTTTTTTAAAATGGGAAGGTGCAACAGGATTACCACTCGGTTACCAAGCTGCACGGTTACGACACACAGAGCCAGGATGGGAGCCCGGCATCATGACAACTCCACTACGACACTGTACAATAGGCCCCAGACATGTATATATAGACCCTACTTACGATCATTAAACAGCATTCATTTCTACGCATTCCTACTTGACCACTGCCCTTGACCCCTTGACTCTGCTGCTGTTGCAACCTCTATCTTGTATGGACTGCAGGTGTCGATGAAATGCAGTTGCATGGTCTGATCGAGTTTTCGCTGGAAGAGTACCCTGAGTAGTCCTAGACAGCCTCGAGACACTGATGTTTTTGATTCAGTATTTGTAAGAAGAAAGACGACAGAGATTTTCTAAAAAGAGGTAGATTTGAAAAGGGCGCCTGAATCCTGTGGGAGCACAAGTGGCATCTTTAAAAAATGCAAACGCCGCTGGCTGTTGAGGCAGACTGGTTCTTTCTGAGTGAGCCGTGAGGTTTGTGGGAGAGGTTGCCCGCCGCGTTTTTAAAAAGACGCCCGGATGTGTGGTATTTGATTGGATCCTCGATCCCTGTTCGGATGCGGACACCCGCCCTATATATCAAAACATAGTATGCAAGTCTGCGCACATACCTCCGACCTTATTTCAAGTCTACGCGCAACGGAGTAGACATCGAGGCCCTTCATCCTGGACTTGACCTCGCGTTCCCACACCTCTAACACATGCCAGGCGCAATAGTGTAAAGGTACGCCTGGAAACGCACTCTTGACAGCCAGGACCTTTGTATTACCTTGGTCGGTAACAACTATATTGGGTTTGAAGTCGTATTCTTGGTCGGGCAGAGAGAAGACATCCTTCATCCTCCTCCGGAGGGCCTTCAGTCAGTTTAAGAGGATATGAATCTCACAGCTCTTGGTGAGAAGGAAGGAAACAGGGACGCTAGCTCCTGTATCCCTGTTTTCTAGGACCAGCGTAAATAGGTTCGTCTTATGTCTAAAGAATGGATGGTAAAGGTAAAGGCAACTCTCAGTACGTGCTGTATGGCGAGAAGCGAAAGGGAGTGGTGCGCGAAAAATAAAGCAAGCGTACCCGAAGGCATTATGTGTGCCTCGCGTAGGTAAATGGGTTTATGAGTGGGGAAGGAGGGGTAGAGAAGAGGTGGGTGAAACTGGGAAAAAGTGACGTAGTAGAACTCAAGATTCGTGCAGAGACCTTGTGTGTACATAAGGGGACTCGACTGAATATGTGGCTGTATATTTTCGTCTTTAGAATAGAGAGGTCAAATTAAGGTTGTTGGCCGCGTTTTGTTAACAATCCACTTCACTCGTACTCTTCTGGTCACTGGTCATCACACTACACTCTTTCTATTCCATCGCCTTTGCTCTCTTCGACAAATCAAATCAGGCCGGCACACACAACAGGTAAATGATGTCATTTCATTTCTGCCTTTCTCCCTCTCTCCTGCCTGCCCTCCTCTGCCTCCTGGCTTCCTTTGGTTCACAGCCAAACGAAGGGCCTCAGGTCTGTGGAGATTGAGTTAGTTTTCGCGATCATTGCCGGCCCTGTGGCATGCTCTTCATCAGAGTCTCCTGCTTGGCAGCCAATGATCCTGTCGTATGTTCATTTGCACATCGCAGTCGCGACTGGCAAAGAGGGAGATTTCTTTGTTCTTGTCCTGCCTACCCTCCTCTGCCTCCTGGCTTCCTTTGGTTCACAACCAAACGAAGGGCCTCAGGTCTGTGGAGATTGAGTTAGTTTTCGCGATCATTGCCGGCCCTGTGGCATGCTCTTCATCAGAGCCTCCTGCTTGGCAGCCACTGATTGCGACTGGCCATGAGAGAACGCACACTTGCCTCAATGGCGGTTTTTGCTGTGCGTCGTTTTATATGTCTGATCGCATTGGGTATGCATTTGGAACTTGTCTAAGTCATCTTCTTGGCTGTATTTCTTAGTATCTGAGTTGCAATGTCTGCTTCAGGAAGCTGGCACGCTGAGATTAATGATCGGCGGAAAGGAGCAGGCTACTTTCTGTCACACACAGGACACCCATGCTTCAAACCCGTTGATTACATTAAATACCGCGCGTTACAGCGAGATCAATCCTCAGCTCTGATTGATGAGTGGATCCGATGGTTGTCAGACCTCAAGAAGAGTTCATATGAAGTCGTGCGGAGGGCTGCTGTTACCGCATCGGCACTCACCCAAGATGACATAGACGAGTACTACCGTGATCGAGTCTCTGTTGACCGCGAACAAGATGCCCTTGAATCTTCAAAAAAACAGCTTCGAGTGGCGGATCAACAGCTTACGTTGCGTATGGAAAAACGCTAGGGTGAGCCAAATGAATACATGGATGCCTGTTAGGAATGTGTTTACTTGGATTTCCAATGCTAAACCAGTGCTACATTACTTAAGTGGAGTCTACTCATTCCACGTTCTCTCCCAAGGATGACCTTGATCTAAGAAATTGCACGGCCAATCCAAGCACAGGTAAGCAAACTTGCATATATCGATTGGTCCGGAGACTCATGCATTTCTTATGCATTGACTTCATTGGCGCCTTTCATTAATAACACTCCACTAGCTGACCGGAAGCGTCCACGCGATGCCCTTGACGATGACGGTGCCAGACTACCGAAGACACTACGAAACCAATGTAAGCATAGTTTGGTCAGCCCCTTGGACAAACTGTTCTGTTTCTTTGCCTAGTCTACCAATCGCGCTGACAATTATTTTTACTTTTTAATAGCTCCTCTATTGCCCACGCCAATTCCTCCTGCAATCTCCGCTATGAATGAGAGACATCTGTCCCAAGATAATGAAGACGGTGAAAACAACAATGATCACCCTGATGCCGAACCGCCCGCGCGACCTGCTTCCCTCGACCAGGATGCTGCCTTATCGACGACCTCCAACGAGGTTATCTCTAGCCCAAAGCGGACTACACCTTCTGCGCCACTTGTATCTTTCAAGCCTTCCCACAAAGCAGGTGCTCCTTCAACTGGCCCTTCCTTAACCGGTGCTCCTTTGGCTGATGCTGGTAAGCCAGGCTTTCGTGGAACGCAGACTGGCTCATATAAAGCGCCTAAGCCAGACGCGCTTTCCTTCATTGGACAGGACACCGGACGACATGAGCCACAGGCATCGATAACCTCACATCAGTTGTTGGCTTTTACAGAGCCTGAAGAGACTGGACCACCAGCATCAAGTACACCACACAGGTCGCGGACTTTCTCTGCGGAATCTAGAGAGCCTGGGCCACACACCCTTCCTGCGTCAAATAAGACGCTCCTCGAGGTTGCTTCATCCTTGGCCCCATCCACAGCCACCTCACTTGAAGACATTTATGGACAACTTGCATCTGGAACTTCCACTGGACAGAATCACGGACAATCGAGGAGAAGTGAGTAATATCACAGTTAAACGAACCAGGGTTTTGTTTGATGAGCAAATGTAATTACTTCTCTTGTACTTCATTCGTCTTATCCTCTTAATAGTTTCATCTGGATCCAGCCTGACGCTGGAGGATTGTAAGTGGACTTGGTCTAAGTCAAAGCTGTGAAATTTCAAATTGACATTAATGTATCAATGACTTCATTTTTTAGTGAATCCGCCGGGATACTCATCACCCAATGATGGTACTGAAGCCGATCTTCGTGATATGGTGTCGCCGGCAAATTCACAGCTCTCGCTTGGATTGAACCTACCCTCGACCGATCCATATGACCCGAACTTTTTTACGGATCAAGACCTTTATGAGTCGACTACCAAGTTCTATACATGGAATTATCTTGAGGGAAGCGGACGACATGACTCGAATGTCGATAGTGCGTGGATATACAACGACGTTGAGATTGGTGGCGATTTGATGGATTTTAGGGATCGTGTCATAAAAGAGAACGGCGGCTTGACCGAACCTCACGAGAAACTGTAAGTAGATTTGGCTCTTTGGACATTTATTGAAGGATATACTTATGACAAATGTAAGAGTGAAAGCGAATGAACCGGATCCTTTAACCTCTTTTGAAACCATGCTTTGCATAGGGTGGTGAACTTTGTGTTCCTCGTTGAAGGAGATCACCAGACTAGAGGCTTGCACGTCGAGATTGAAGACGAGCCTTGGGCCGCACTCTGTGAAGCGACGAGGGACCAAGTGGACCCACTCCCAAAAGTTACTGTCGATGAAGCACACCAGTGGGTGCGCTTTTTAGCTCGGGAGAGCCCAGACTCATTTAAAGCACGTTTGAGAGCTTCGCCACCCAATGACCCATCTCTCCAGTCCATCTTAAACCTGATGGTCAGCAGTGGCCAACTCTGGAACAGCGAATCGTGCAACGAGGACACATACCTCAAATCTTGGCTGGGACCCTTCCTACAAACGTACTTCAGCAGTATTACGTTCACTACGAGTGGCTGGTAAATAATTACTTATGCTCTCCATTTCAAATTACCTAGCTACTTTTTGCGATGCTAATCTCATATCCTTTCATATCCGTAGGACGCAGACGCAGGAGGAGACTCGAAACACAGACTCCAGTCTACTCGTTCCCGATTTCGCAACTGTGACGGTGACCAAACAGGGAGAAGTATCTCTAGTGCTTTTGGAAGGAAAAGTCGCTTCGAACAAGGGCTTTCAAATTTGGGACGACAGGACGAAGTTGGGTCAAGGGATGAAGCTCGCGCTGGACTCGATCGTGATGCTTTCTCCTAAGGACGAAGTTTGCGTTGTTGGGATTCTCGTGCGAGGTATGTTTGTGTTGATGGTGCTGAGCGTATTTAAAAGCCTCTCCTCTTTCCCTCTTTCCATGTCATTCATGTTGCCTTTATATCTCTATATATAACTTTAGAACCTTTGGCCGAATTTTTTACTATGCAGATTCATGCCGAAGGAACTTATATCATGCGTCGGTTTGCAATTTGCTACATTGCAGCCGATCATATGAACATGCTCCCCATCATCACCATGATGGAAGCATTTCAACATGCGCTGGTAAAGGTAAAGAAGACTCTCGCTGCCATCCGCCGTGTCAGGATACGCCCTAGCCCGAACCCGAAAGTTCCTCTCTCTTGGCTCAGACCGTCTTTCAATAAGCCAACAAAGACGCTCGTCCTTGACGGCGAGTAACGTTGGGTTAGGCTCATCTTCAGTTCATAAGGTTATCTTATGAAATAAGACTCTATGGCTCCATCGGCTTACCTAATCAACTCGATCTTACGTCACTGAAATGTCGACATAAAGGTCCTGGCTGATATGCTGGCTATGTTTTTGGAGTATCCCTTAAGCAGCGACACAAAGGGATGTGAATATGCACGTGATAAAAGCTGACATGCGCACAGACCAGTTTCAAGAATTATGCGTAGCCTACATTGAAATCGACGAACCCCTTAAGAGAAATAAAAGTGATCAAAGCATCGACAACTCTCCTGAAAGAAAAGAAAGTGCCAACATTGAAAGATCTAAAAGCCACGTTGATATGAACACTTGGCGGGAAATGTTCATCATGAATGAGCCCTTTAACAGGCGATTGAATACTGATTAACCTAAACAGATTTACGTTATATGACAGAAGCTAAACGCAACACGGACAATTCGAAAAACGCGCGTGCGCACAGACCGATTTCAGTTGACGCGCGTAACTGAGGCCGAATTCACGGGCCCCTTAAGCATAATAAAAACTTTGACAAGTGAAACGCTCCAGAAACGCGACCTCGAATTCTCCTGCAGGAGGAGACATCGAAGGATCAAAAAGCAACCAGTTATTCCTTCTATGGAGCTACCAGTTCCCTCGAATTTATCCTCAGTTCCCTTGAAATTAACTTCGTGCAACCATGATCCATATTAACTGACCAATATCAGCATTCTTGCACGCATGATTGCGCAGTTTATCACCCGTCCCACGGTATCTATAAACAATGGGTCTTGCAGCTCTCTCTTTTCATTTTTCTTTTCCTCTCTGCAGTCGAAATCCATTTATCCGTCATTTTTACTAGTGAAAGTGACGGATAACTCAAATGTTCGACTGTACCTCCATGGCTATTTCTTTTATTGCTTCAGCCTTAGTCCACTGCGGACAATTCTATGCCGTTGACTTGAACGCCCAACGACAGTTGCATGGTTACACGCATACTCCCGTGGGAATTGTTGTGGACTAATCCCCTGTTGACTTTCTTTTTGCCCTAGCCCTCCAGCGCGCGGATTTTCCGTGAGAAGAAGAGCCCATTACGAACATACAAGCGGCGCAGACGACATAACTGTTCCCTCAAAGTATAAAAAACAGTTAAATACTCATCATCTGTTGTCATACCACTGTCGTCTGTTCCTTTATTTCCCTTTCAATTCTCCACATTCGATCCCTACTCTCCTGGTCAAGAAAACATCATGAAATCCACTACTGCTATCTTCGCCTTTACGTTGGCTTGCTTGGCCATCTTGTCTACTTCAACTGCCACGCCAGTTTCAGAGCACCAGCTGTAAGTGGACCTGATCTCTTTTGGACTTCTACCTCATCAAGTGGCTCGAGTATAACTGAAATGGTTTCGATATCTCTACTCTCTCACGATGAAAATATTGACCGATCTCTTTCTTTTTAGTGAGCCAAGAAGATGTCTTGCCATTTGTGAACCCATTTTCACTAACTGCCCCAACGGCTGTGCCCACAAGGATTGTGGTGGCAACTGCTGCGCGTGCAACTAAGTTCTGCATCATTCATTATAGTTTGGAAACCAAATAAAAAAGAAGGTGGCCGGATGGTCAAGATCTCTTTCTCAAATTTTGCGCTCAAGTCCAATGCAACGAGTTTGAACTAGAACAAGACCAGTTATACAGTGCCGTTCAAAACTGAGCAGATATTTACTCTGAGAGCTGAGACTCACAAACTAGCGATCCGATTACCTTAGAACTTTGTAGGAATGTTCCTTAGCCATTATAGAAGACGTTAATAAAAGATGAAGTCGCTACCAGCAACCACTGTAAAGTTATAGTCATCGGTAGAGGCCACGTGATTGGCCCAGTTTTGAACCATACTGTGATGTTTTATGTACCTGAGAGTGAGTCAAGGAGACAAAAGAGCGTTTTTGTTTATTATGCTCCCGGTAGGGGTTTTTATAGCCCCGATCTGGGGCTTGGAGTATTAGATAGCTTAATAGTCTCATGAATAAAAATGGAAGTGGCCTGAATATGAAGGTTCACTCCCAGTACAGTCCCAATTTGGGGTCTGGACGGAACAACTTCCCCCAAGTTTTGATCCCTCAAAACTACTGTTGAGATGGGGTTAGTCATCGATGTGTGAGGAAAATGATAGTAAAAACCTCTGTGATATGAAACGTAATGGAGGAAAAGGTAAACCTCCTAGTAGTTCGTCTGAGGAAAACGAGAAAAACCTCAGTTGGATGATTTAGTTGCGAGAGAAAAAGGTAAAACTCGCTGGTGCGTCAACGTCTGTGCGTTGCAACCTTAAATAATGAATGTGGGGAAAAATGTACAAAACCCCTTTTGATCATACCCTGAATTTTCTTCTCTCTTCTGGAGAAGACTCAGAGCTTGAAAGCCCTCAGTAAGCGTTGTCATGCTCACTACTTTGCTTTCTTCCTGGGAGAGGAGTTTTTCTTTCCTCTTTTTCCCTTACTCGCATCTTTTGAGATTGGTTTTTGCTGTGCCATCTGTTGTCGTAGCGTTTTTCTCTGAACTCTCTTTTCCTTCTCTGCTTGCTTTGCAATGACATGAGGGTTCTGTTGGTTCAAACGCTTCCAGTACCGTCTGATGATCAGATCTGAATCAAAATTGTCATACTCTAGTTGCGAGTTGTGAGAAGAGTCGTATCCTTTCCACTTGACAGTGTACCTCACCCCCTCTGCCGTGAGTTCGTGGCCAAGAATGGCTTCGACTTCGTACGACTCATCATTGCGACCATCTAGGTCCTGCGTGACAAGTTTGAGTTGGACAGGGGCGTAGTTGCGTTCTAGTTTCTGATTCGTGGCATCCAACAAGGTATAAGCTCCATTCTCTATACGTTCCATGACCTTGTAAGGGCCTTGGTACTTTGGTGCAAGCTTGCCTTCCTGGAGTTGCTCTCTGGCCATGACATAACAGCCAGGAGGGAACCCCAGAATGTGATGTGTACGATTGAACTTATCAATCATTTTGCGCTATGTTTCTGCACTGGTTTCTGACACTGCCGGAAAGACTAGTTCCGTAAGGTATTCCAAGCGTTTCTCAAGTTCTTCTTCTGCCATAAGATGTGATTCTGCTGACGTAAAATCAGTTAGCCCTGCAAAGGAGCGTCCGAAGAATAATGAGAACGGCGTAGACTTGTGGAGACTCGCCGCACGCTCGTTTAATTGGAGTTGGGTCAAAGGAAGATAAGCATCCCAAAGATCAAGACGACCTTCAAGTTGCTTCTGAATATTCTCTTTAAGGGCTCTAACATATCTCTCAGCAACACCGTTGGATCGAGGATGATATGGTGTGGATAACCTGTGATCAATCTGCAGCTTTTGCGACATGAGTTTGGCTACTTCATTTACGAATTCGGTGCCACTGTCGCTTTGGATAATCTTTGGGAAACCAATTGTACAAAATAATTTGAAGAAGACGCCTGCAACTGTCTTGGCTTCCTTATTCGGCAATGGTCCCAGAAAGACGAATCTAGTACAGATGTCAACCATTACCAAGGCGAACACGTTGCCTTGCCTGCTAACGTCAAATGTGGCTAGATCAATCGCTACATGCTCTCCAGGTAATTCTGCATGAATGGCTTTCAGTGGATGATATCCTTTGCGTGCAATATTAAAGTGCTGACAGGGTCCACATTGGCTAATCCATTTGAGACAATCTTCCCTGAGCTTTGGCCACGTGTAGCCCCGCTCATAAATGACCTTAACCATTGCATTACCCCCGAGATGACCAAATTCATGGACTTGATTGAGTATTTGTTTGCGTTCTTCGACGTCTAGAACAGTAGTTCTGTCCATGCCGTTCGTCTGCATAACATGAGTATACGGTGCTTCATGATCAATAGGTACTGTCGAGAGACGATCTGCTAAGTCAACCGAAGAAATAGTGACGTCCTCTTCTGTAGGCGAAAGAGTGGCCTTTCGTAGCCCTGACCTAGTCACTGCTGCAACACGATGCTCCTTGCCTCTAGAGTTTACACTCTCAACAGGCGTCCATAATTCATCTGGAAATGCTCGGGATAATGCATCTGGAATAACGTTCAACAGCCCTGGACGATACACACATTCGAAATTATAATTGAGCAATGTCTCCTTCCAATTCGTAATGATCGGAGGTAGCTCCTTCTGTTCGTGAATGTATGTCAAGGGTCTGTGATCAGTGTACAGCGTGAACCTTCTACCCCACAAATAGTGATGGAATTTCATGAGAGCAAATATTGAATTATATGGTGGTTCTTGAAGTCAGTGAGAAAGAGATGCGCCTCCAAACACACATCTACACGATATTTATTAATCAACTCTAGATTGAGTTTTAGAGGTGATAGATTTATATAGTAATAAAGTACAGTGCAAATCCTTTATAATGGAAAATTTTTCCCTTGTAGAGGAGGAAATGGTTTTTAGTATTCAGTTTGATTCAAAAATATATGCCAACGTATATTCTGATATGAATACATCTGTTTACAAAATTTATAAATTGCCATTCTCCTCCTCCTCCTCCTCCTGCTCATAAACCTCCTCATCGTCTGCCTTATACGCCAGCAATTGGATTCGGTCCAGAGCGGTTTCCGCGTCGGAAGCTAGGTGAGAAAGCATGCGCATAGATTCGATAGATACGGGGCCATGGCGTCCACGGAACATGGACGTTGCTTCATTGATAGTCCGCCAGATAGCCGACATGTCAGACGGCCTCTTTTTCTGTGGGCTTGCACCAGACGATGAGCATTCTTCAATTCTTGTAACGTCGCGAGAACGAAGAGTAAAAAGGATTCTGTTCACCTTCCGCTTCGGTGGAATCACATAATCGTCATCCAAATCATCATCATCATCATCGATTTCATCCTCCTCAATAAAGTCGCTCTCCTGGTGCTGATTGAAAATGTGCCTGAATTCTTCGCTGTTTATGACGCTCATCGCAGCTTCATGAATCGACTCTGAAGGTCCATCGCCGTCGCACATACTGAGGTAGTTGAGGACGGAAATGTCCTTTTGCTTAGAAATGGCGTCCTTGTTGTTCGCGTATTTTTGTTCGAGCTCCTGTTGAAGGCATGTTACTTCATCCTCAAGTGTCACGACGCCAAGCTCAAATACTAAAAACCATTTCCTCCTCTACAAGGGAAAAAATTTCCACTATAAAGGATTTGCACTGTACACTGGACTCGGCTGAATATGCAGCAGTGAGCACGATAATGCTTACTGAGGGCTTTCAAGCTCTGAGTCTTCTCCAGAAGAGAGAAGAAAATTCAGGGTATGATCAAAAGGGGTTTTGTACATTTTTCCCCACATTCATTATTTAAGGTTGCAACGCACAGACGTTGACGCACCAGCGAGTTTTACCTTTTTCTCTCGCAACTAAATCATCCAACTGAGGTTTTTCTCGTTTTCCTCAGACGAACTACTAGGAGGTTTACCTTTTCCTCCATTACGTTTCATATCACAGAGGTTTTTACTATCATTTTCCTCACACATCGATGACTAACCCCATCTCAACAGTAGTTTTGAGGGATCAAAACTTGGGGGAAGTTGTTCCGTCCAGACCCCAAATTGGGACTGTACTGGGAGTGAACCTTCATATTCAGGCCACTTCCATTTTTATTCATGAGACTATTAAGCTATCTAATACTCCAAGCCCCAGATCGGGGCTATAAAAACCCCTACCGGGAGCATAATAAACAAAAACGCTCTTTTGTCTCCTTGACTCACTCTCAGGTACATAAAACATCACAGAAACAACAAACAGCACGGGACAAACTCCAACGCAACCACCACAACCACCAAACCTCAAAGACTATTGTCCGACAGGAGTTTATATCAGCATGGTTATCGCGTATCCTGCAGAAGTTGTCAAATTCCAAGTTGTCCGCCCTGACCCCAAGCCCGAACTGAATGGCCTTCGGCGTGTCTCTATCAACATTGACGACCACAATTTTCCACAAATCTTTCCAGATCGACATGTCAAGTTCCTCGACAGGCTCAAGTAACATAAGCGACCAGCAACAGAAGAGCAGACTGCAAAGCCTACAAAGAAATCAAAAGTAGTCATGACGAGATCTGCAACTGATCCATTGCCACGAGATGACTGACTTACTTCACATGTAACGTGGTTGACAAAAGTGGTCGTATTATTTTAAGTGGATTTAGTACGGCCTTTTTTACATTATTTGATACCTGTATTATCTCAATATCCAAAACATAAAAGCATGAGCCTCACTATGCGAACAAGGACACACGCCCAATGGACTTTAAAAAAAACACAACTAATTAACTGGTTCATGTATCAAACGTTCACTTACGTTGTCGAGAAGAAGACCCATTTGGGTCAAATAAAGCCCGTGCCATGGGAAATGATCTCGAGAAGCAGGTATTCTCATGGTGTCTGAGAAAAATCCACAACATAAACTAGTTCATTAGTTGTGTTTTTTTTTAAGTCCATTGGGCGTGTGTCCTTGTTCGCATAGTGAGGCTCATGCTTTTATGTTTTGGATATTGAGATAATACAGGTATCAAATAATGTAAAAAAGGCCGTACTAAATCCATTTAAAATAATACGACCACTTTTGTCAACCACGTTATAAATAAACAAGGCACAGTGCGATCAAAATTGTGGTGAATGAGAAAGCAAGAGCACTTAGGGAAACAAAAAGCGAAAACACATTGCCGCCCTTGAAGATAACAAAAAAGAAAAAGAAAGAGAAAAAGAAAAAGAAAAAGAAAAAGAAAAAGAAAAAGAAAAAGAAAAAGAAAAAGATAAAGAAAAAGATAAAGAAAAAGATAAAGAAAAAGAAAAAAAAGCCAAAATACAGTGCCCATAATAATTATGTCTGCCCACTCCTTGACAACAGTCATGAAAAGTCAAGAGCACATCACTTTCGAAGCAACCCAACTT